CCATTAAGTTATTACAATTTGTTTTCAAAATAGTTTAATCATCAGAGTATCCCCAGAATCAAATCGTAAAATTATGAACTATGAGGAGCTGTACGATCACGCTTTTGCCTTGCCACGATCCCCTGATGCACCTGAAATAATAAACTGAAACTGTAAGCCCGAAAGCTTAGTGAGTTCCCCCAAAATACCCATATCCACAACAATACACATGTAATCATAACAGCATACTATGGGTCCAATCAACCATCGGGTTGGAATACCCTAGGCCCTCAACCAACAGGTTGGAATGCCAACACACTATGGGTCCAATCAACCCAACCACCATTCCACGGTGGTTTGAGGCTGAACGCAACGAAACAATGGCGAAGCAAGGTGGGCGACTCCCACCGGAAACGACAGTCACGGCAGAACAAGGCGTCGCTAGGTCTCGTAGTCGTAAAGGAAATAACTCCCGCCGACGATTTGTTGATGGATCACTACAACGATCGAGACGTCGGATGAATTGGCAGTTGCGGCGTCCGACGTCGGTGTTCACGGCTCCAACGGTCTTCGGTGGTTCTCCCTCTCCGTTCACGACGCCCGACAGCAAGTCATGATGGCGGTGCTCGAGTTCGACAAGGCGGTCGAAAGGAGATGAAGGGAGGCATAAGGAGAAGTAGCGACTGCATCATTTAGGTTTAGGGTTTTGAGGGTGACGGGAATGAAGGGTTAAATACCCGAACCCTTAAACTAATTCTCATAATGTCATAAATGGTCCTTCCTTGTCCTTCATCCTTCAAATTCAGTCCAGAAATTACCATTCCTACCCTGCCTTCTAAAATCTCTTTCAAATTAAATCCATAATTTACCCAACATCCCTTAATCTTCAAAATCCTTTCATAATAAGCCCAAAATTACACGTTAACCCCCATATATTCAATTCTTGCCATTTGGTTTCCCGAAACCAACACCCCACTAATTATTATTTAATTTCTGAGCTCTAATAATATAAAATAATAATAATAATAATTACTTCCCGGGGTTCCTGAATTATTATTTAATTACTCTCTTTAAAATGGGATGTTACATGTGTTGACTCGTTATGCACATGTGAGAAAAATAAAGAGAGTATAGCCGTTAAATATGTTAGAAATATTAGTGGTAATAGTTAGGATCCGGGGATATGTTAAGGATCCCGAGGCTTCAAAAGTATTTGAGGATCCTGAATATGATTCAAGAATCCTGCCCTTATCAAAAATACCATAAAAATCATTGCTTTTTATACATGCATGTCCAATGCATTTCTTAAACACAAGCTAGTTTAAAATAAAGGGAAAACGATGTCAAATCCAATACATGGAACCCAAAGCTCACTAATATTCCAGATATGGGACAAAGGGTTACAAAGGAGTCTCAAGAACTCATAAAGTTGCTAACTTTATGAGATTCCAACACTTAGACTCCCTCAAATGATGAGAAAAGTGGACCAAACCCTAGATATAACATGCTTTAGCTAAAAATTCATGAACTTGAGGACTTACAAGAGTCCTAATGCAACTCAAGATGACGAGGGAGTTGCTTGCTAGCTGAGATGATGCACCAAATGCCTTCTCTTCTTCTTCAAGGCTTAAAATCACCAAAAAGGAGCTCAAAAATCAACAATGGAGAATCAAGGTTTCCTTGAGGGTAAAGGGAGTTGATGGAGGTTGAGGGTGTGTAAACCCTAGCCCCCACTTCCCTTAAATAGGGGCTCCAACCCCGAAATTAGGGTTTTGCACATAATGACTGTCACGTCCTAACCAACATGTTGTCATGTCGTGACAACCAATGAGAAGCGCGTTTAATACCGAGCACCGCCACATCGTGACACACATGGTCATGTTGTGGTCAAGGTTTTAGTCCTTAAAATTAATTGATAACTCAGAAGTGGTGCTTACCTGGAACTGGGTGTTACAGAGCTAATATGACAAATAGACTTAACCATAGGTATGCATATTTATTTTCCTATAGAAATGAATCTTTAACTCACACATGTATTTGTTATGAAGTACAAAAACTTCGAAAATTCAATAAAGCTTAAACTTGATCAAATAAATTTCAACACTTCAACACGTAAGTTTGAAACCGATGCAAATTTTCAAGCTTATAAACAAACACTATATGATAAATGTTACAAGTGGGGAGAAACTAGTCATTTTGAAAGAGATTACAAAGGAAAGAAAAGTAATCCAAGGGAAGAATCATATGAAGGCATACAAGAGAATGGTAGCCTTTCTAAAAAAACAAAATATAGGATAAAATGTTCTTCTCGCTGAAGAAGAAATATAGGAAGACAAAGAAGATCTTTTTTAGATGATGAGTTGGAGAAAAAAGGATGTGTATTTGATGGCCACCACACAAAAGTCAAGTAATAGCCCATGTAGTTGTGAAGATTATCTAACTCAAGTTGTCAAAGACAATGCTTCTCAAAATTATGATCCATCATCGGTGTATTAGGTTACCAAGTTCATTAAAGTTCATTAAGTATTTTGATGATGAAAAGTATATGATGTTTGATTATTTAAGGATTGGTTTATAGAAATCTCACAAAGAAAAAGTTAAACTCTAAGTAAAAACATAATCTCATTCTTTAAGAACTTAACAAAAAGATAATGACCTATAAAAATGAGTATTGTTAACAAAAAGATAATGACCTATCGAAAATGAGTAGTGAGTTATCAAATGAAAAAATGTTCAACAAAGTACTTACTAATGAAAGAAACAAGGTCATTGATGCTTTTGAAAATATTATGAAAATTCGAAGGAACTTTTATATA